GGATAAAGCCTTGGAAATTAGAAATCAGAGAGCCGAGTTCCAATTTAGGTCGGATTCGGTATATTCAGTTGCGGGCAAATAGCCTTGGGAAAAGTAGAAATACGTCTCTTCTCAATCAGCTATGCGTTCAGTCAGTTATCTGCCATGCGTGAGTAACTCTTAGGCGATCATGTATCTTTCGATACATAATTGACAAAGCAGATTTTTTCCCGCAGTAGATTGCCATTCCTTTCTGCGGCAGCCATCCAAGTCTATAGTACCTGGTCTATCCGGCTATTTACCCATAGAAGAGAATTCATACAATGGTATTAAATGTAATGGATTCGACTGGAATTCGAACTCGGCTCTCCGATTTCTCAATCCGAGCCGCTATACGTTACTCTACCGTATTTCCCAATAAACTCTGACAATCTAAAATATTTTCTATTTAAATAACCCTCAAAAGGTTGATAAACCGTAAAAAACACATCACTTAATGAATATATTACATAATTTTATCATATCGATATTCAATTTTCCTCTTCGTGAAAACGGCACTAAATCTTGATAAATATTTTCAAATTGTTCGCATAATCTACAAATTTAATATGCACTACCGTTTATAAGTCTTTGAGATTATTATCATTTGTCGTATCATTTTAAGGGTCTATGAGTAAAAAGGGGCACTGTAGGGGAGTTACATGTGCCCATTTGGGACATTTCGTTTATATGGAGAGAGTTTTGCCGATGGTATGTGCAGATCCGCATAAAGTAATCTGGTGTCGCTTTGAGATGCTGATGTACCGTGGATTTTACTCACATGATTTTCGGTAAATTTCTTTATCATGCCCAATGCCTCTCTCACAACAGGAATATTTGTAGTTTTAAGTTTCAACATTTCTGTTACTGCGATTTAGAGGTCTTTATAAGTTTTAAACGTCTTCCTTTTTTATTTTAGAAACTTTTACATCCTATGAACAATTCATAATAATTAGTTGGCGGGTACCTTTTTTGAAATTTTTGATGACAATGTCTGGTCTATTTGCATCAATCTTTCTGCCTTTGAGGATTGAGAAATTCTACAGTATAGTCACTCCATCAATATTTTTGACATCATTCGGGTGGTGTTTGTACCATGAATCCGGGACTTCAATACCATAGTTCGACAGATATGTCAATGAATTTATTGTTCTAACCGCCCAGGTCTAATACTGTATTCTTTCCTAGCAATGATTAGGCCAACAGATATATGTGTTCAACAGCTTCATGAAATTTTTGGCATTAACGATGGGAACGATTTGTGCAATCTTTGTCGATTTTAGTCTTGGAGGCATTAGTTAGAAGACATTGGTCTTGCGCTGTCATAATGTGGCATTGTGTCTCCCTTATTATTATTATTATTATTATTATTTCATAGATCAGTACTATAGAAGAATTATTATTATTTTTTTGAACAAATATCTTTCCAACGTCCTTATATCACCAGTATAATCTTTCGACCTCCCTGTGGTTGGTCGAAGCTTCATTAAAAATCTATGCTCGCTCCTGCCTTGCCGTCCCCAGATCCTCAATGTCCAACACTGAGTCCCGAGCCATGGTGTCTTTCGCGAATAGACACATCCAGAAGTGTCACTCTTCAATAAGTAAACTTAAAAAATAATTAAAAGTATTTCCCTGTTGCCAAATACACGTTAAAAGTGATGGAGAATGAACCAGGGAAAAAGTTGTTTTCTACACCAAAATGAAGGTACTGCTCTTCATAATAGAAAAAAAAACAGTAACTTTGGCATTACAGTTTTTGTAAACACCCCATTCTTATGCATTGATAGGAAAACAATAAATAATATATAAGTGTGGTCTAGTCAGCTATATACACACGTAATGGAAGAAAATGTGTATGGGAAAAAAAGCAGAAAAAAGGCAAAAGAAAACTCATTACGATATTTTCCTTTGAGCAAATTCGGTCGAAGATGGCAGAGCATGTATTTTATCAACAAACACGGCGTCTCAGCTGCAAGTTTCAATTTTGAAAACGAGGCGAAAAAGAAAATAGTCGCGAGTGCTTCGAGCCATTGCAGGGATAGTTATGAAAATCGACGGCTCGTAAAAATGGCACTTAAGTAATCTGAGGATGTGTCATTTGGCACAATGGTTATCGGCTCGGATTCAGTGAACCGAGTATGAAATCCGGCTGAATGGAGGCACACGCTGGCTGAAGAGAACATCATTTATTTCGCGTTGGCTACCCGCATGGAAAAATAAACATACAATGAGCAGCTCATTGTAGCAAGGAATAAAAAGTAAGAAAAGAGTTCCAAACTGCTATTTAATTTTTCATCTCCTCTATAGTAGTGAAAACGACATTTGAAAAACTAAAAAGTTCAGATAACTCGAATTTTATTCTGTATCGATATTAAGAACATGGCCCCCTTCTAAGATTTACAAACAAAACAATATTTTTTAATTCTAACAAAAGTCACTCCTTGAATGTCTAATGAATGCTAATCTACAAAAGTTTTTCCCTGAAAAAAATCTTCCTTATTTTTTCCAAGTCGATTTAAATAGTCCCTTTGATTAGATACTTTATGAATTCTCTTGCACATCGTCTAGGCAAGGCTAAGGGATGCAGATGCCATACACCTAACTAAAGAGATATATATGTCATACATTTTAACACAAAATATACATATGCCATACACCTAACTAAAGAGATACATAGACCATACACATTACTCAAGAGATAAAGATGTATAATACCAAACTCAAGAGATACATATGCCATACACCTAACTAAAGAAATGCAGATGCAGTGGCATACTCGTAATTCAAGTGATTCAGAAGTCATACTCCTACTTAAAGAGATGAAGATGCTATAGCCTAATTCAAGAGATTCAGAAGTCATACACCTAACCCAAGAGATAGAGATGCCATACACGTAAATGAAGACATACATATGTCATACACCTACGTAAAGAGATGCAGATGCCATACACTTTACTCAAGTGATTGCAGGTGCCATAGATATAACTAAACGGCGATTCTCCAACGCATATAATTCATAAATATATTTATTCTAAATATGTATTCCTGCAAGGCAGCTAGAGTCAAAATGCTGTCACACATAAATTTATTTACTTATTCTGACCCTAGGTAAGAACTACATCCTGTGGAGTGAAATCGTTTTTAGGGGTTCGTTGTTCGAGCTTGATGGGTAACCCTGCTCAATATCAGGGATAGAGCGAATGTAAATTTAAAAGTGGACACCGATGTCAACACGGAGTCGAGACAGTCTGTTTCATGTTTGAACGCATTCTGCACGCCATGTTTGTTGTTTTTATCTCTACTATTTATATATGCTGGTCAACGGTGCATCATGGATAGTAAGGTCTATTGTATTACCCTTAAACTTATTCGGTGATCGGACGGGACCGGGAGTTTCAAAGTGATGTGGACATAAGCCCAGAATAATATGATATTCGAACAGAAATAGATCGATTCTCATTTAACATGAAACTTTTATAACTTAAATCTTCAAAACAGAAGTTAAACGCGTCTTCTGAAATAATCGAACAAGACAACTGATGAAAATCTTTGATTATTTGATAATTAATTAGGATTCGAAGTTCAGGACCAATTCTTTAAACGTAATCTCTTTCGAAGATCTACAGATTGATAGGGATAACGTTGACAATTTCGTAAGACGGCAACTGTAGTGGATATATGGGAATACGAAAATTATGTTACATTGTAAAAATGGAAACGATTAGATTAAGTTTAAAATGAAGACTGAAAATCCACGTTTCTACATGGCCTCAAAAAACGGTTTCGACTATTGGCAGAAAGACACATCAATTACAGTTAAAATTTAAACGCATAGTTGATTGGTTGATTTGTCTTTTGTCATTTATCAACCCTTTGTGGTTTATTTAAAGCCCAAACACATTTTGGTTTACAGGTACAGTAAGTTTGGATGTGCGGGTGGTGTATTGGATTTCAATCGAAGTGCCAAGCTCCGAATTTAT